CCCCAAAACCCCAAAACCCCAAACCCCTTAATCATAGTTTTTCTCACATTTGATGAAAAATTTAAGTTAATTATATCAATCGAATAAAGCTAATATCTTATCTTTATTTTTAAGTTTTTTCGGCTTTTAATGTCTTTGTGTTTACTCAGATGGAATTAGATCCGATTTAGTAAATGTTGCTCTATAAGTTTTTACAGTGTTGTACTCATCATAATTGACAAAATATCCTCTTATCGCATCATTTTTAATCAGAGTTTTCAACTACTTTTCCAAAAGCTAATCATGAGTAAGCATCTTAATCCTCAACTTTTTCTTATTACTTTCACTTCTCTTCTTCAGTATTTTATGAACTTTAGCTTTATAAATCTCATTATATCCATCCATTTAATCTCCAAAAATATGCTTATCTGATTAAATTTCTTATGGAGTAAGCATATTACCACCATTCTAATGCTATAAATCATCTTTAAGTTCTTGATTTTCTGTCAAAATCTAATTTTATTGGCTACTTTGAATAATTCCATCCTAATTTGAACTCATCACAGGTCCTGCAATAACTTGAGCAGATACCTATATAGATGGTGGTTAAAAAAGTGGCAATAAATCTGCGTTTCTTGAAGTCTTGTTTCCTTTGTTGACGCTCTAGCCTCTTCCTGTCCTAGAAACTGTAGCTGCTTTAAGCATCTACTTGTTAAGAAACTTTGGTCCCTTATTTAGATTTATATCAGGTAAGATCATATTAGTAGGTTTAAGCGTCAAAGGTTTTTGAGATTACTCTGACTAGAAATTAAAATCAGTTTAATGTGATTTTTAGGTCCTCAATGAGTTTTGGTTTCTTGAGATTTAAGCTATCTGAGAAAGTCTTTTATTATTTGGAGCCTCTGCTTAATGATCTTTTAGAGATAAAGTTCTTTTTAAACTCTACGCTGTCTTATTCCTTTCGACTTTGAACTTTCTTGGTGATTATGAGTTGAAGATCTCTGTATATTCAATTTTTTAGCCATCTTCCTACTAAATCTCATTGTGAATCTTTTTGTGGAAGTAATTGATTGCCTGCTTTACAAGTTTATCATGAAGTGTGTTCAGCCCAACAGGCATTACTTTCTTATTGTAATATCTTTTCTGCTCAAAGTAATCCCGAGATATCTCGTCATACTCCTCTACAATATCCCTATAATTATTTGTGAGATATCATTTGATATTTCCATACTAGTTTTCAAGGTGTTCGTCATATGCTGATACATTATAGGAAGCTTTAATTCTAGCCTCTCTAATCAGAGCTTTATGAGCTTTATTCATGAGATATTCTGATTTTTTATTCAGTTTTCCTGCGCTCATCGTCCTCTAATATATTTCCTCATCTTTCTGCTTTATTTCTCTTCTTAATTCATGCATTTTTCTTTTGTCTAGTATATCTTCAACGAATGAAAAAGAGAGCTTGTTAGTATTTTTAAGTTTTACTAATGCAAGCAAGTCTTTTTCAGATAGTATTTTATTATACTTTTCAATATCCTTCTTAGTGGTTCCTTTACTCAGCTTTTCATGCTTCATATCCTAATAAGTTTTTAATCAATGGATAACCCCAAAACTTACTCTGATAAAGAAGTGATACTGTGGTTTATTTTAAATAAACGTTTTCTAATGAGTGAATGTCTATACTGGAGGAGCCCCAACTGGAGATGCCTCATTTATTTCCTGCAGCCGTTTTTCTTTGAGCTTTTACTCCACATATTTCTTGAAATTGTTAGAAAATGGTGAGATAAGCATCTTGTAAATCTTTGCCCAGCTGTTGGACTCAGTTTCTTATTCAATCAGAGAAGGCATCATCTTAATCATCTGATCGAATTGCACCTCTAGTAAAATATACATAATTAAAATGATTTGAGCTAAATAATGACTTACTGTTTTCAGTAACTTGTTTGAGTATCATTGCTATCTTTGAATGTAATTCAGGAGTGAATGAAAGACCTTCTATTCCGCTAGAGATCATTTCTTCTATTTTACTTTCAATAGAAGTCTTCTATGGTTTTAAATGTTATGGGATTTGAAGTAAAGTCTTCAAGGACTGAGGATTTTGCTTCATAAAACCACTTGGCTTAGCATCAAATGCTGATGGCTTTTCATGTCCGGTAGTAGAAAGGATTGATTTAGTCTTGTAAAGATCTTAACTACTATTATATTTTCTTAGTGGAGATAGGTTGTTTGATTTTTCACTCATTTATATATCAGTTTTGTTTAATAAATTTAACTCAGTTATTTATGAAAACTATTATCTTTGGGGTTTTGGGGTTTTGGGGTTTTGGGG